ATGATTGCATTAGCGATCCCCTTTACACCAAGTTGTAGGCACACAAGTCTAGAATTAAATTAATATTAATAAAATTATCAAGTACTAGAATTGTCCTTAATAAAGAGGTCTAAGGGCATAGGGCTTTATAAAATTATATTATTGTATAGGACTAGTTATAGATATAGGCCTATACAATACATAGGCCTATATTAATTTAAATATATTTATAGGCCTACTTGATGGAGAATTATACCTGAACTAGTCTAAATCTATTCTTAACCATTTAACAACAATGTTTCACTATGTGACTATTTTTACAAGATCTAGACTAGTACTTGTATGAAATAGAATAGTTTCGGCAAAAATAAAAAATAATAAAAGCATTACTGTAACTGAAAACGTGTAAAAATATAACTAAAAAATTAATGTAGAGTCCTAATCAAACATAATGATTAAATGATTGTGTTCATCTAAATGTACTGAATTAAAATAAATAGGCTAATTACTGAAATGGTATGGGCCCAGGACAGGACTACTTATTACTACTTAATACTTAATGCAGAATTAGATGAACACTTATACCTAATTAATTTAACATATCTAGATAATCTAGATTCTAGATCTAGAATCTATATCTAAATGAACTAGCACCTATTTCTTACTAGAATCTAGATCAGTGTTGGCCCTATTAGATTCAATTAGATCTAGATTCTAGATCTAGATCTAGAATTAAACTAGAGTCCAGAACTAGCTAGGCCTAAAGCTAGATTCAGTAGATTATTTTTTACTAGATCTATCTAGTAGTATATAGTCTGATCTAGATCTAGATCTAGTTACTATAAATCAATAGAGCTAGATCTAGTAATCTGGATTTGTTTTTCTAAATCCAAAATCTATTATTAGGCTATCTTAATATCATCTAGATCTAGGCCTATTTATTTAGTAGTCTAGATCTAGTTCTAGATCTAGAAATCTAGATCAAAATTTAAGTCTACTTGTGTAAAAATCTAAAAATTAAATTAATGTAGAGTCTAGACCTAATTGTCCTAAGTAATCAACCGTAATAACTTAGTAAATGTAGGCTACTTAATCTAAATTATTAATATTTGGCCTAGTAATAGTAATATATATATCATAGATATCGGAGAGCCGTTATCAAGTAATGCGATATTTTAATAATGTAAGAATCACAGGAAATTTGGCGCGAAATTAAGGCTCTCTCGCGGACAGCCTTCCTAGGCTTGCGGACCATTGAAATCGTAATTTTAAAATATAGGTTAATTTTACAAGACCCAATTATTATTCTCATCAACATTTAGGCATCTCTTTCTAAATATTAAGTACTTTATTATTTATAGACTCTTACCTTATATTTCAGCACATTGCTCCTCTGGTAGATAATAAACGAGATCCAAAAATTAAAATAGGCTTTGAATCTAAATCCTCTTGAGGTTAAAACAAAGATGCGCACGGCGACATGCGTAGATCAGGTGTGCTGTGGTAGAGCCTTAAGCGACACGGCCTTAATTAGCAATGGTCAACCGGAAACAAGGAATTTAGGTTCAAGGTACAGCCATGATTACCATGGCAACAAAGGTCACGGCGCAAGCTGCGCAACTCGCTACTTTCATCCTCCCTCACGCCTCTCATTCGTCCATTTAAACGTACGTGGTTCTTTGTGTTTGTGTTTGTGGTTGGTTTTGCGTTTGTATTTGGTTTGTTTTCGTTTGTTTTTTCGTTTGTGTTTTTTTCTTTGGGTTTGTGGTTGGTTTTGCATTTGGATTTGGTTTGTTTTCGTTTGCTTTTCGTTTGTTTTTTTTTCTTTGTGTTCGTATTGGTGTTTGTGGTTGGGTTAGTTGTTAGGTTATTGTTTTCGTTTGTATTTGTAATTGTGTTAGCTTTATGTTTGCGTTTTGTTGTTTTGGTTTGGGTTTGGGTGTGCAATGCCGGGTTTATGATGATTACTAAACACACAGGTAATGGTCTTTAACAGAAAGGTTTTTCACAGAAGCCAGAGCAGGGCCTGGCCGGGACGGCTAGTATATATATATATATATATATATATATATATATATATATATATATATATATATATATATATATATATATATATACATTTTTCTGACCATAGTAAGAAATCGGTCAATGTTAGAACTCGGTCGAAGCTAGAGCAGTCTACCCTATAAAAAAATCTCATTTAAATCGGTCAGGCATAGATTTGTAACAAAATGTATGGATGAATTAATATGGGCTGTTTTTGGGTATTAAACTTAAACAAGGGCATATAGATACAATTTTAAGCCAATGCCGCTGCCGAGAAAATCGGACACATCTGCCTTTTCCTAACCCCCTGCATGGTTAACACTATTTTTTGCATACTTTTATTGTTTTTTTTTAACGTGATGTACATCATCCTATTCGCAATTGAATAAGCTTTTAAACTGTATACGTTTGATTTCGATAGTATTACCGACATTAAAAAAAAAATCGCCGATTGAATCGATTTAAACCCACCCCCCACCCGCGAGGCGGCGCCAATCATGAGAGAGCCTTTTTCACATTTTCAAACAGGGAGTGTTACTTTTAGTCTATAGACTGTTCGTGATTTTGTAATACAACAGTTAAACCAAGGGTTTCACCAACCATTTTATATCACACAGTTTTTCTGCTTTTGCTAGGAATTGTGATGGAAATATACAATTTATTTATTTGGACAATATTTTGTGTCGGCCCATCTATCCCTATCAGAACGAACCCCCGGCCTCAACCAACCGGCGGGCTTGTTGCATTGAGTTAAATATAAACTCAAAACAATTCTAGGCCTTTGACCGTAAATAAGAAAACTTCCCCATAATTGAAACGGGTAAGAAAATACATAATTTATTTTGGCTAGTGATGTTTATACAAATGTATACATAATTTAATTTTCTGACCTTTGTAAGAAATCGGTCAAAGTTGGAGCAGTCTACCTTATTAAAAAAAAATCTCATTTAAATCGGTCAGGCATTGCTGGGACACAATGTATGGATGAATTTAAGCCTACATGAACTTTTTTTTTGTAGTAAACTTTAAACAATGGCCTATACAATTTTAAGCCAATGCCGCTGCCGAGAAAATCGTACAAATCGGCTTTCCCCTACCCCCTGCATATTTAACACTATCTTGTGCATGCTTTTATTATGTTTATATTAACACAATTAACACCCAACGTAATACCCATAGCCTGTCTCGCCACGCCGACCAGCGTCGCCTTTGATGTTGTTTAACACCCGTAACAGTACACGAGCAGATAGCGGCCGTTTCATACACCACCCCCCCCTCCCCGTCACTTTGTGGAGTTGATGTCACTAACCCTCAGGCATGGATCAGGAAATCTTACATAACATTCGTCTGACACGTTTCATATGGTTGGCCGACTTTCCTATCCAGACCCTTCCCTGCGCCCGGGGACAAACTTTCAATTTGGCGCCCCCCCCCTCGGGATCAACCTTTGAGTTTTCGATTTGCACCCCCCCCCCCCCCAAACTTTCGATTTCTACACCCCCCCCCCCCGCCCCCCATATATTTTTTTTTATATTTATAAAGCAAAAGTGCAGCTAAAATGAGATTTTAATTTGTTTTTCCAACAAATTTTGGCGCCCCCTAAGGTCGGCGCCCGGCGACATGTGTACCTTCGCTACGCTTCTGTAATAGAGCAATAAAATTCGTCGGTCAGATTAGCGGGTTACCCCCACGTAACAGTTTGAACAAAATCTAGACAAAGGCTGGTGATATTACACGTTTCTGTGTATAGACAAACATTGGAATATTACACAATTCCTATAGTCCAATACAGTCTAGCAATCAAAAACTTACTTCCTTTTTTAACACGTTTTTCTTAACTCAGCTTCGCGTTTGTGGATTTGTTTGTTTGTTGTTAAAATTGACATCGAAAATTAGCCCACTTCTGATTGCTCTACAGATCTGAAATTTGGCATGCATGCTACTTTCGCCTAACAATTTCAGATGCAATCATAAAAACTAGCAATTACAGACCGTAATTAGCTTAATTTAATTACGCCCCAAGGACCATAAAATCGAGGACATGATTTCTAAAGATACCGACAAGACTGGAGGCCTATTGCCACAGTTACTTCGGCCCCAATCGATGTGAGCGCGCTGGCCGTGATCGTATAGCGGTTAGTACTTCGCGTTGTGGCCGCGACAACCCAGGTTCGAATCCTGGTCGCTCAAGATTTTTAGTCCGTGTATTTATAAACACTTAGTCAAGTCATACTTAATCAAGTCATTAGATAAAGTAGAAAAGAAACTATATAAAAAACTTTTTTAAAAACCACGTTTTTCATGTGTAGCAACGGACTAAAAAGGAGAAAATAAAATACTTAAAAAAAACTTTTTAAAAAACCACGTTTTTCTTGTGGACTAAAAAGTAGAAAATAAATTTTCATACATTTGATGACAAAAAACGTGGGTCGGGCAGATGGGTCGGGAAATTTGATGGTGAACGTACCCACGTTTTTTGTCATCAAATGTATGAAAATTTATTTTCTACTTTTTAGTCCACAAGAAAAACGTGGTTTTTTAAAAAGTTTTTTTTAAGTATTTTATTTGTCAAAAACTTTTGTTTAGTTCGCAACGTCTGTTTGTTTATTCGTTTGTGGGTTTGTGGCCAATCTTGTAACTCAATTTTGACCCACTTCTATTGCAGCGATTTCGTTCAAGCTTTCCAGATATGTTCCACTTCAATGACAATACAAGTCGATCTCTTTTTTAAATTTAACTACACGTTTAATTAGTCATTAAAAGTTAATTATACTATTTTGAAACTAAGGGGAGATAACAAAATTAAGCCACAATAAAAAAAAACAGTTCATAACTTTTTGTTTATAGTCCGATTATAAAAATTCAAACTGATTTATATAATCAGATTGCCAGCCTCTATTCAAGTATGTAATATTATATTGTTTTATTAAAATTACATTTTTGCATTGTCTTAGCTATATACAATATTTTTACAGAGAATGTTGTGCCCCACTTGTGTAGGTCCAAGCTTCCAGTTTTAGAAATAGCGGAAGGGAGACTACTCTTCTCTGCTAATACAGCAGCCAAGTAAGTTATGAATAGTCAATGTTTATTTGTTCTTTCATTGATCAGGCCTTGTTTGTTTTTATCTTAGTCTTATTCTTTTTTCTGTTCGTCACACAATTAATTAATTAACAGTTGAATTCAATGGATCATAGTTCTGAGTTTTAAAAATTATTTATTGTTACACCAGGTATCTATTTCTCAAAGCTAATCAGGTAAAAGATGAAGAAGCAGAAGATGAAATTTTGGATTGGGAATCTACAGAATTGTTGGTAAGTTTTTGGGTGCATTTTATTAAACTGTCATGTTTAATGTCTTTTCAGAACTTTGTTGGTTTTGGTCAATATGCATGTTGTAGTTCTCATTTTGTCTTTACTTTACCTCTATAATAATATTAAAACTGAATTTTAAACATCAATAGATCCTTTTTGTAATTTATTAAGTTTCTTTACTTTAATATAAGTAGTAAGGATGATTTTTATTCACAAATGCTTGTTTTATCTTTAGTTTAATAAAAAAAAAGAATTTTATTTCTATAAATTGTGATGGTATAATTATGTGAGAACTTCAGGTCTCAATTTCCATGTGACTGTTGGTTTATTTTGAAATATCAAAATTAATTTTCATTTTTCCCCCTCTCTAGCCTTTGGTTGCAGCTTACCTCGTCAGTGCCATTGGGCAAGGCAAAAAAGATCCTTCACTGATAACACCTGTGACAAAGGTTCTACAGCAACTGGATGCCAAGCTTATAAAGTCCAAGTACCTTCTAGGAGTAAGATTACATATTTAACCCTTCAGTAGCCAATACCCCATGCTTTATACATATTTAACCCTTCAGTAGCCAATACCCCATGCTTTATACATATTTAACCCTTCAGTAGCCAATACCCCATGCTTTATACATATTTAACCCTTCAGTAGCCAATACCCCATGCTTTATACATATTTAACCCTTCAGTAGCCAATACCCCATGCTTTATACATATTTAACCCTTCAGTAGCCAATACACCGTGCTTTATACACATTTAACCCTTCAGTAGCCAATACACCATGCTTTATACATATTTAACCCTTCAGTAGCCAATACCCCATGCTTTAACTTCCTGCTTCATATAGGTTGTTGAACCTAGACTGCCTACTTGATACACATATTTTACTAGTAACTCTGTACATAGGCTACTAATCCCGTAAATAAAGAATGGTCTCTTTGTTCAAATGTTTATGTAGAAAATTCCATTTACTAATAAATTCATTTGAAAAATCGTTTGAATATACCTAGTTTGAGGGTGGCAACACTTTTTAATTCCTCCAGATTCACCTCACTCCTTTTGTTTTTAACATTTATCTACTAGCTAAGGTCCACACCTTCCTTCTACATTTTTGTAAAAGCTTAAAAGAAGTAGAATTATTATTTTTAATTGTTAACAGCACTGGTGTAATACTTTAGTAAACAAAAAAAAATAGATCTTGGGAGTTTTTAATAATTTAACAAAAAATCTTATCACATCGTTCCAGGATTCCCTAAGTCTAGGGGACGTCTGTGTTTTTAGTACCATTTTTCCTCTACTTGGTCTGAAAAATTTTGGTAGGTTTATTTTTGTTTCTACTAACCATATTTTAATAATACTAACATTGTCACATTAAAAAAATGCAGCACAAATGGATGTAGTTAATTTTATTTTATCTAATTATACATTTTTCAGAAATTATCGAGAAGCTACCCAATATACAAAGGTGGTGCAGTGACGTTAAGGCAAACCAAGCTGTTCAGGCTGCTGTTGCAGAGGTTACAAAAGGTCAAGGCCATGAAATTTTTAAGGTGAATATCCTTCCTGTTTACCTCATAGTGCTTTAATAGTAAAGTAGTAAAGTTTCCCTTTCAAACCTGACGGTCTATGGGGCAAGTGTAGTAGAGTTCACTTGTTTCTGTGACCTCGGCATATGAAGTGATAGTGTGGTCAGCACTATGCCCAGCCGCTTTTACTTTCCCAAACGTGAGTTAGGTACCCTTCAGAGTTGGGTGGACTCAGGGACGGTCTACTGACTTGAACCCGGAATTGAACTCGAGACTTAAGGGTTAGTAGTCCAGCTCTCTACCACTAGACCACTCCGTCCCATAGTGCTTTAATAAGAGCATTGCAATGAGGTGATCAAACCAAGCTTCTGTTTGTTAAGGTGTTAAATTGTTGATCTTCAGGCATCACTTCTGGCTCAGAGCTTCCCACCACTTCCAAATAAAGATGGGGGTGAGTGTCAGGTCAAGGCCAGTGGTGCGGTCAACTCATCTGCCACAAGTTCGGTTTCATCAGAAGATCAGGTAATTAAACTTTGAGTTTTCTTTTAAAAATGTGAACTCTTTTAGGGCATCAAGACTCATGTTTAGGTATAAACACAACAAGGATCTGCTTTCTTTGAAATTTTAACTGTAAACCCTTCTAAGCCATACAATATTTTAACTGATTATCACTTAAAGACCAGTAATTAGCTTTAACTAAGCAATGGCCTTTAATGTTTGTCCCTGCATAAAATATTTTTGTTTTTAAAACTAAATTATATGATAAGCCAGTATCTGAACTAACCAATTAATATAAAGTACTTGAAATTAGCTGTAATATCTGTATATTTATCTAAATTCAAGATACATTATCTAACATAACATACATGACCTACATAATTTTATTTGGGCAGGTTCCTACAGTGAAACTAACCCAAGAAGAACTAGATGCTGCCCGCAAAGCATGGAAGAAAAATCCCAAGGAATGTGTTCAGCCAAAACAAAGAAAGCATCCTATGTGAGTGGCTGTGGTTTTATAGTTTTCAACCACCATAATGTATTTAGACACCTTTGTTTTTAGAAAAAGCACCTTTTTCAACAAATTGTTACTTGTATGCAGTTTTACCATAAATTCCTAAATATTGTATTATTTATCAATTTCAGTTTGCTTTAACTAAGCATTTAATAATTTATCAATGCTGAGATGCTTAAATGAGAGCAAACACTTAATTGTATTTGTAAATGTAAATATTTTTCTAAGCTATAGAATTATTTTGACCTTCTCTCTAGATTACCTGAGGCCAACTCCAGAAATATTTTGGTCTCCAGTGCTCTGCCCTATGTCAACAATGTACCACACCTGGGGAACATTATTGGCTGTGTGCTCAGTGCTGATGTCTTTTCTAGGTATTCCAGTTTGGTTTTACTGCTTGCAAAATTAATATTTATAATTATTTACTGGTTAATAGGGCTCTGATATGATTAATACACTCATGTGCTTTTTCAAGGAAGTCCATTTACTGTTACTTACTCTTATATCAGAGTTTTTAGTGGTATAATTTAAAAGCTTTTGAAAATTGGATTGAGGAGGTAACTTACTGGTCTTTTTTTCTGATAGATTGCTAAATGGGTATAGGTTATCAGATTGATGTGGTTCTCTACCTGAAGGCTATTTATGCGTATACAGTAAAGATTACTGGTTTTTTTTAAGTCTATTTTTGTATGTTTTGTTATGGGATGCAGGTGAAGCTTCTTGTTATTCATTCATTTTCTTAACCTAATCTAAAAACTTATATTTTTTTTTCATAAAGTGCTGTCCCTTGTTTTGTATAGGTTTGCCAGATTGAGAAACTACAACGTGCTCTATGTATGTGGCACTGATGAGTATGGGACAGCCACGGAAACCAAAGCCATGGAAGAGGGGGTAACTCCTAAGGAGATCTGTGACAAGTACAACAAGCTCCACACCCAAGTCTACAAGTGGTTTAATATTGACTTTGATTTTTTTGGTCGCACAACAACCGATCATCAGACAAAGTGAGTTGTGTTTTTTTTTTAATGCAAATCGGCATAGCTGTTGGCAGGACTTTTGTAAAATAGCACAGCCTTGTTAAAAATTTGCTTCAAACGTGGCTCATAAGGCCCTAGGTTGAAACTCTCTTTGTTGTTTTTACTCTTTTTACATTGAGAGGCTGCAAGCGCTTCCTGTTTTAAAATATGTAATACTCAGTTACAGTGTTGGCTGTATTTCATTCCTGCTGTTGTTTATAATATATAACATTAAACCTATAGGTTTTTAGTTAGTTTTTACTTTTGGTAGAAATGTTTATCATCTTAAAAAGCAGACTATTTGGTTTTATGTTTAAATTAATTCCTACCCAAGATTGAGTTAGCCATTGTTGTTTGATTACATCTTTACCTTTTACTGGTTATATTGTTATTGTTTTTTTATATTATAAAATAATCTATCCTCACAGAATTGCCCAGGATATATTCTGGAAACTGTACCAAGGAGATTATATACTAAAAGATAGTGTAGACCAGCTCAAATGTATCAAGTGTGATAGGTTGGTTTCAAATATTTAATTCTCCACTCAGCTTGGTAGATAAGATTTTTTTTTAAAATATTTTTATTACCCACGATAAATATTTTTTAATTCTGTCTAAATCATAACTAAATTGCGACCAGCTTACATTACAATAAATAGTCTTATTATAGAAATTGTATTTTTAATAAATTTCATGTTATGTATTGAGGCAAAAAGAAAAAAAAAAAGTCTACTGTAGTGTTATACAACACATAATATATTTAATATTATTTTCAGTTTTTTTTTTGTAAATCATTGTCAGCATTTATAACGCAATGCTTGCCGAGTCTTGATATGACTTTAACTCTAAATTACGTTTTCTTTCATTTTTTTCCACTCCAGGTTTCTAGCAGATAGATTTGTAGAAGGAATCTGTCCCCTGTGTGGGTTTGATGATGCCAGGGGTGACCAGTGTGATGGTTGTGGTAAACTGATCAATGCTGTAGAACTCAAGGAACCCAAGTGTAAAATATGTAAAAGCTCACCTGTGATTCAGACATCGAACCACCTGTTTGTTGACCTGCCTAAGGTAAATATTGTATATTCTCTTTTACTATATATTTTGTATATTTAGTTGACTGTCTTAAATAAAAAAAATTTTGTATCAATTTTATTTTATAAAGATTAAAATATCAAATTTATATCAAATGATTTTATTTGCATTTACGTTACTGATTTACCAAACAATTAGTTATGCATCGATTATTGATTTAAATATTAATATATAGTTTTAAACTTATTTACATATTGAAATCCTGATTTTTCAATTATTCTAATTTGTTACATATCAACAAAGTGGTATTGTACAAAATTTTTGAAATTTTTTTCTACGATTCTTGTTTCTAGCTTGAACCTTTGCTGAGAGCTCACCTCAACAAAGTCTTTGAGAGCGGCACCTGGACCAACAACGCTAAGGTGATAACAAACTCCTGGCTGCGCGATGGCCTCAAGCCCCGGTGTATCAGCCGAGACCTGAAGTGGGGCACCCCCATACCCCTGGAGGGCTACACTGATAAAGTGTTCTATGTCTGGTTTGATGCCCCCATTGGTTACATCAGCATCACTGCCAATTACACTGCCGAGTGGGAGAAATGGTGGAAGAATTCTAATCAAGTCAGTGTTTTTATTCACATATTTATGTATTTTTGAACATATTCAGAGTAGTACAGTATCAATATCAGGCATTTATTTGTGCATTGTCGTACTTAGTTTAAGGTCAAGTTAGTGTTGAAATACAGGCAGATTAAGATTTTTATAGGGTAGATTTTTTTTAAATTAAAAAGCCAAATTATTGGCTTTGATTATATGTCCACAAATATTATGACTAGTCTATGGCTTAACTTAATACAAAGTGATGTTGTGACCGATGATCAAGATAAATGCAATGTTACCATATATTCCATTTAAATAAGTTTACCTCTATAAGAAATTTGAAAAATATTTTACCAATATTTACCAATGTTTCATGTGGAACAGATTGAATACTACAACTTCCTTGGAAAAGACAATGTACCATTCCACAGTGTTATATTCCCTGCCTGCCTTTTGGGTACTAATGATAACTACACAGTGGTGAACCACATGGTTGCCACAGGTAAACAAAACACTTTTTTTTTAAACTTAAGGTAAATTACTGGCAGTTTATAACTTTAATAGGAATCATGATAAAAACAGTTTAATAAATTTAGTCACTTAAAGCGTAATCATTTATTAATTGCTCAACATGCATAATTTGTGTCATTGCATATCAGTCTAGTTAAAAATAATTGTTTTAGGTGACCATGCAATAACAAAAGAGGAAATAACTAGGTGATAGAAATAAGTGTGGAAGCTTGATAAAAGTTGTTCTTAAATGTTATAGTGGAAGCTAGCTATAACAAGGGACCAATACTACTTATATTAAATGATTTTTATAAGGTAATATAAGCAACTTCAGTAACGGCGTGGCCTAGTGGTAGAGAGCTAGACTGAATTTTCTGTATCTCAACAGAGTATCTCAACTTTGAGGATACTAAACTTTCTATTCACAGAGTATCTCAACTATGAGGATACCAAATTCTCCAAGAGTCGCAACACTGGTGTGTTTGGGGACCAAGCAGAAACCACAGGGATCCCTGCGGATGTGTTCAGGTTTTATCTTCTCTATGTCAGGCCAGAGTCTCAGGTTGGTTCTACACTTGTTATTGTGGACATTGCTTTATAGATTCTTGTTATCTATCTTCTAAAGTTGATTCTTGTGGTAAACATTTTTGTTAACCCTTAAAGCTCGCCATGTGGCCTTACGGGTTATAAATTATGTAACAGCAAAGCCATGATTGTGGCTTGGCGTGCTTTCAGGGTTAGCTAACCTAAGTTTCTTGTTAAATTCATTTCAAGTTGATACACCTTATATACAAAGTAATTTAGTTTTCATACACTTTTTTAAAGATTTGTCTTAGTAGCTTCATCCAAACTTACCTTAAATCATGTCAGATAAATAAAATAAACTGGTTTAGTTTGTTTAGCAATGATTCTGTTAGTTTTGTATAGGTTACTTCTTGCTTTACCACATCATCTAGTATGTCTTACAATGATCTTTGATAGTTGTGTAGGTTTTTAGTCCTGTACTATAAGTCCCTGTTGTCATTTATAGGACACTGCCTTCAGTTGGGATGACTTTTTACTGAAAAACAACAGCGAGTTGTTAAATAATTTAGGGAACTTTATCAACAGGTATGTCAACAGTATTTTAGGTTCTTAGGTTAGTTTGAAATAATTATTTTGTGACTAATAAGAAAACTGAAATGCAAACTTATTAAATAACTGTTGATGTGCTTTATTTGAAAAAAGTAACTGGTTTTTACATTTCAGAAATTTTATGTTCATGTTCTCACAAATCTCTATATTTCAACTACTTTTTAAAATAATTTCATCTTTTATTTATTTTATTATGTTCTAGAGCTCTTATGTTCTTGAACAACAATTTTGGTGGTGTGGTTCAACCAATGGAAGAGAATGAGGATGACATCCAGTTGATAGCACAAATCACAGACCAGCTCAAGGGCTACACAACCAACTTAGACAACTGCAGGTGTCAATTCTTTTTTAAATGTTTCTTGTGTCTTTAATCGTAGATCATAGACTTAAGTACTAAGATTATTTTTAGGAAAAGATGCAATTTTACTAAAGCTTAACACATTTTAGTGAAAAACAACATACCTCTATCTTGTGTATCATCATGCTAGTCATGTATGAAATATTAGCTGTGAGAAAACAAGCTTAACCTACTCATATAAAGTTTAGCATCTGTAAACTATAACTGGGAAACTAATAGACCACTAGAATAAAAAACAGCTGAGAATAATTATGACGCTTAGAAAGCTGATAATGAAAGTAATGGCACTTTTATGCTATACTTAGCCCTAGTTTTATAACGAGCTATCTTTTTATTTTAGGTGGATTTTATAAGTTAATAATCCTATAGTTAGTTGCATACTAACAGGTTATCTATTATTTTAGGTTACGTGATGGCATCAGAAACATACTGAACATATCCAGACTGGGTAACCAATACATGCAGGTCAATAAACCCTGGGTGCTGGCTAAAGGCACAGAGCCAGAGAAGTAAGTTGGTTAAACTGGACATTGGCCAGGCACAGTAGAATTTTATTTCACAAGGCCATTTGAGCAGATGAAAAGGTTTTATCTCTGGCTGTTTATCATCTGCCTCATAATTGTAAAGGTGGTTGATCTCAGCTCATTTGGTTTTATATTTTAAAACATTTGTTGTGACACTGCAGCATACAATAAATGTCTGTCAATACTATAACTTAAGGTGAATGTCTGTCATCAATATAGCTTAAAATGAATGTCTGTCATCACTATAGCTTGAAATGAATGTCTGTCATCACTATAGGTAAAAATAAATGTCTGTCATCACTATAGCTTAAAATGAATGTCTGTCATCACTATAGCTTAAAATGAATGTCTGTCATCACTATAGCTTAAAATGAATGTCTGTCATCACTATAGCTTAAAATGAATGTCTGTCATCACTATAGCTTAAAATGAATGTCTGTCATCACTATAGCTTAAAATGAATGTCTGTCATCACTATAGCTTAAAATGAATGTCTGTCATCACTATAGCTTAAAATGAATGTCTGTCATCACTATAGCTTGAAATGAATGTCTGTCATCACTATAGCTTAAGATGAATGTCTGTCATCACTATAGCTTGAAATGAATGTCTGTCATCACTATAGCTTAAAATGAATGTCTGTCATCACTATAGCTTGAAATGAATGTCTGTCATCACTATAGCTTAAAATGAATGTCTGTCATCACTATAGCTTAAAATGAATGTCTGTCATCACTATAGCTTAAAATGAATGTCTGTCATCACTATAGCTTGAAATGAATGTCTGTCATCACTATAGCTTAAGTAGAATGTCAACACTAGCTTTATTAAAATGAATGTCTGTCATCACTATAGCTAAAGATGAATGTCAACACTAGCTTTATTAAAATGAATGTCTGTCATCACTATAGCTAAAGATGAATGTCAACACTAGCTTTATTAAAATGAATGTCTGTCATCACTATAGCTAAAGATGAATGTCAACACTAGCTTTATTAAAATGAATGTCTGTCATCACTATAGCTAAAGATGAATGTCAACACTAGCTTTATTAAAATGAATGTCTGTCATCACTATAGCTAAAGATGAATGTCAACACTAGCTTTATTAAAATGAATGTCTGTCATCACTATAGCTAAAGATGAATGTCAACACTAGCTTTATTAAAATGAATGTCTGTCATCACTATAGCTAAAGATGAATGTCAACACTAGCTTTATTAAAATGAATGTCTGTCATCACTATAGCTAAAGATGAATGTCAACACTAGCTTTATTAAAATGAATGTCTGTCATCACTATAGCTAAAGATGAATGTCAACACTAGCTTTATTAAAATGAATGTCTGTCATCACTATAGCTAAAGATGAATGTCAACACTAGCTTTATTAAAATGAATGTCTGTCATCACTATAGCTAAAGATGAATGTCAACACTAGCTTTATTAAAATGAATGTCTGTCATCACTATAGCTAAAGATGAATGTCAACACTAGCTTTATTAAAATGAATGTCTGTCATCACTATAGCTTAAGTAGAATGTCAACACTAGCTTTATTAAAATGAATGTCTGCCAACAGGAAGAGAGCTGGAACAGTTGTGAGTGTATGTGCCAATGTGTCCTGCCTGCTGTCTGTTCTGATCCAGCCCTACATGCCAGCCACCAGCGCTGTCATACAGCAACAACTTCAGGCCCCAGCATCTGTCAACTGTATCACTGGAGAGTTTGTGGCCATGCTGCAGCCTGGGCACAAGATTGGCCAGGTAAATTTGAAATATTGCATCGTAAATTTATAATCTTGCCAGATTTGTGGGTTTTTTTTTTTTTTTTCTTCATGAGCAGAGTGAAGTGTGAAGTAACAAACCCATGTAGCTTATCAATATAATTGATTACAGCATCAATTTTCAAAATGTTCATGGTAATCCATGCATTAAAATATTTTTTTGTAATGGCTAAAACAGCCAAAGTATGGGGTTTACATTAAAAAAAAAGCTCTAACTAAATCTGTTCATGATTGTTATACCCGCTCGCTATTAATCACATGACCTGCTTAAGTATCCATTCTATATTTGCTAACTGTAAATGTGTACTCTGATAATAGAAATATTTCTCATCATCTCTGTTTTGTGAACTATTTCCATTCACCATTTGATCCATGATTTGAAATATAAACCACTGCAATCTGTATTGAGTTCAATAAAGTATTGACTAGCATTCTTTATCTGAGCATGGGCTCAAAAGAAAATAGTATCTCAAAATATGAGTGGCTGTGTGGTCATCAGCAGTTCTATATGTTTGGCAAACATTCTAAATCACTTTTTCAAAAAAACAAAATTAGATGATAGTTTACTTAGATTGGTAATAATTGTTAAATCTTAGAAAAACTACTGTAATTTTTTAGATCAGTAATGGCTAGTTATAAACAATCACCAACTTTAGCTCTGTGGTTTATCTATTTGCTACGGTTGTCTCCAACTTTAAATTCTTTCCCCTGTGTTTTCATCACCAGTATTTTAGTGAAAGTTTCTTTTCAGCTTGTCATGGGTGTTACATTGACCCAGTTATATTTCAGTCACATTGTGTGGCCTTCTGCGATTGCGAGTTAATTTACATTTTAATCATAAAATCATGATTGCTTTGTTTCATGTTTTGCAGCCCAGTCCCCTATTCCAAAAGATTGAAGCTACCATTATAGCTGAGCTCAAACAAAAGTTTGCTGGAAGTCCAGCTGAAAAAGCTCCACCTAAGGTTTGTGTGTTGTGTAGAACATTTATTTTTATCAATGTTGTCTCTCATTCTTCTCCCTCTATGTTTTTGAAACATGAATTAATTTTTTTAAAGAATTTGTTGATATCATGTTATTCAAGTCATGCGTTCTATTTTTCAATGTTTACATAGTATTTGCAAGTCAACTTTTTCACATATATTAATTATTTGTAAAAACGTAATATTATTTTAATTGACTTTGTGATTTGTAATTTTGAACCTGAGTTTAATCAGGTACTGATGTAAACAATTTAACCGTTACTGTCACCTACAGCAGATTGTATTTCTTCTAGGGGTGGTGTAGTCTCTGGTGGAATTCATTGATTTAAAGCTTAAGATAATCACCATTTTTTCCCTCCACTGCAGAAACAGGCAAACAAAAACACCCCTAAAGTTGAAGGGACAGCACCTGTTGCTTCCACAGAGGAAATAGACAGGCTGACAAAAGCTGTTGCTGATCAGGTTAGACTGCCTGCTGTTTGTCTCTTTTTTTGTCTTCCTTTTTTTTTAATTTACTCAGAAGTCGTAACTTACATTATTGTTATTTATTGCCTTTTGTGCTCAAGACACATGGCAGATAAAGTAGAGTTCATCTGTTTCAATTTCCTCAGCGTATAAGGAGTGTGAAACTTACATTATGATAAAATGAAATGCTTTTTTAAATATTTGTTGTACTGATTTTATTTGTTAATTTTTTTTTTTATTGATATGACCTTCAAATATAAAGACATTTATTGATAACATAATGTCCAGCTATTTTTAATGTGTTTGCTTGATGCACACTGGTCTAAAAGGGTCCATTTTATTCCTCCCTGTTAATGCTAACATTAAAGAAGAATTAGTGTTTTCTGGTTTAGTAAAGTTAAAAGTATATTTGATACTACATATTATTTTTATGTTGTAGAAAAGAAATGTCTCATAACTTTTTATTTTTCAAGTTTCTAGAAAACAAACAAAAATGCATTTTTTAAAAATATTTCTAACCAATGAGCTGTGCAACTCTTGTTTTTGTTTCTTTTGACTAGGGAAACAAAGTTAGAGAATTCAAGGCAGCAAAGGCAGAGAAATCTGTTATAGAAAAAGAAGTGGCCTCCCTGTTACAACTGAAGAAAGACCTTTCAGCAGCCCAGGGCCCTGCTGAACCAGCAGTGGACAAAAAGTCAAAGAGTAAGGAAGCCGGTGATAAAAAGGCCCCAGTGTCAGACAATTGCGCTAAATCACCTGCATCTGTCCCCAACTCTACACCTGCATCAGGAGGTCAGGGTGACCCAGCTGTTGTGGAGAAATTAACTCAATCTGTAACTGAACAGGTAGATATCTGATTTTTAAACTGGAATTTAGTTCGTAACATTTTACTGTAATGCGAATCAGAAGTTACTTTGAAAAGGAGGGATTACTTAATTGGTAACATAAGCAGTCTTTGCTATGTAGTTACTTAGTTGGCAATTATTTTGGATTGTAAAAAAAAAGTTTAAAAATTAATTTTCTTAAATTTCAATTTAAAAAAAACATCATTTTAGTACATATGTTTTAATTGAAATAATTTAAACAAAAAAAACAATAAATACTTTTAATTCAATATTGTAAATTTAACAATACATTTTTGTTTGAGCAGGGTAATAAAGTAAGGGATCTGAAAGCATCTAAAGCAGAGAAATCTGTTATTGATAAGGAAGTGGCTATTCTGCTCCAGTTAAAAAAAGATCTAGAATTAGCTCAAGGGAAACCACTCCAAACAACAGCAGCAAGTGGCAGCAAGAAAGGAAAGAAGAAGAAATAAGACATGAGAATCTCTGCATTTGTGTTGGTTATGATGGGGTGTTTTGTGTATTAAATGTGAAGAAGTTATTTATTGTCTTACTTAATTTATTGTTGATGTTGAGTACCCTTTCCAGAATGGTAACATTTTTTTCTGGTTTTGTTTTAGAATGAATTAACCTGTTTAGTAGTGTACGGAAAAAAAACATTGGTGCTTTTTACAGTAGAAACCAAGAGTTTCTGCTATTTGTTTTTTCTGACTAATCAAAATCTCAATCTGAAAATACACTTAAAATTATTATCATCTTTCTTTTTGTGCCCAAGACACATGGGGCAGCAACGTTAAATTATAACCCATGATATATCTTCAACCTATTTTTATTAACACGTTTTTATTAACTCAGCTTGGCGTTTGTTTGTTTGTTGTTAAAATTGACATCGAAAATTAGCCCACTTCTGATTGCTCTAGAGATCTGAAATTTGGCATGCAGGCTACTTTCGCCTAACAATTTCAGATGCAATCATAAAAACTAGCAATTAGAGACCGTAATTAGCTTAATTTAATTACGCCCCAAGGACCATAAAATTGAGGACATGATTTCTAAAGATACCGACAAGACTGGAGGCCTAATGACACAGTTACTTCGGCCCCAATTGATGTGGCCGCGCTGGCCGTGATCGTATAGTGGTTAGTACTTCGCGTTGTGGCCGCGACAACCCAGGTTCGAATCCTGGTCGCTCAAGATTTTAAGTCCGTGTATTTATAAACACTTAGTCAAGTCATACTTAATCAAGTCATTAGATAAAGTAGAAAATAAACTATATAAAAAACTTTTTAAAAAACCACGTTTTTCTTGTGGACTAAAAAGTAGAAAATAAATTTTTCTTTTGTGCTTCCTCGAGCTGTGCAGATTCTTGTGATGACTGACAAAAAACGTGGGTCGGGCAGATGGGTCGGGAAATTTGATGGTGAACGTACCCACGTTTTTTGTCAGTCATCACAAGAATCTGCACAGCTCGAGGAAGCACAAAAGAAAAATTTATTTTCTACTTTTTAGTCCACAAGAAAAACGTGGTTTTTTAAAAAGTTTTTTTTAAGTATTTTATATCACTATCTTAAAAGCTAACATTAAAGTAATTTAAAACTTTTTCAATTTTTATTTTATTTCACAAAAATTAAAAATCAATATTTAAAATATGATGACAGGGTGAAAATGTATAAGAAGTTATAACTAACAACTTTTTTGTATAATTTTTAATGTATTAATAGGTAGTATTGTTAGCAATTATTTAAAAAAAACACATTGTTGATGGCAAACCGCAACTAGACTGTTAGGAACCTGTATGTTTGTACAAATAATGCTGACCACACTATCCCTCATAAGCTGATGTTACAGAAACACCAGCCATATGGACTGTCAGGTTTGAAAGTGTTCTTGTCATTATACAACTTAATCAAATATTTTTGTTTTGAAGTATGCCTTGAATGTTACTCTTTAAGTTTTTCTGCTGAAGAAATTGAACATAGTTTAATACTAAAACCATCTCATATGTTTAATAAACCACATATTTATATTTAGACTACATCAAATATTATCTTACATTTTTCAGTTTAGAATAGATAGGCTAGAAACTAACCTGTAATGGTACATGTAATTTATTCTTTAAGAATTTTAATAAAAAGGAACTGATCTAGGTTCAAAGGTACTTATAGAAAAAATTAAACATCAAAGCTACAAAGTCAGACAATAGTAATACTACATTATTTATACTTGATAAGTATAAAATAAGTGAACTATCTAGAATATATTTTTTACCAATGAAATTGAAAATGGAAAATAAAAATCTACTATAAATCTTATGTGGCAATGTTGAAGCATTGTATAACAGTTAAAATAAAACAAAATACTATTTATTTAAATGTATTTATATAAGTATGAGTGCTGCCTTTTTTATAACTAACATGACAGTATTTGTTGAATGGTGGTGGGTCATACCTTTTGCCTAATACCTTCAAAATAACTATATTGCCTTCTTATTGCCAGTGCAGCTGTGAGAAGTTTAGTGAAAAAATTGACAAAAAATACTCTGAATACTTAATTCTTTTTACTCGCTATTTGTTTAAAAAATGATGGTAGATTTTTATGTTTGACAGATGTTTTTTAAAGTTAATACAATAAAGGTGAATTTATTGTTTAAAATTATTTGTTCCATTTTATTTTCTTAAGTAACAATACTTTACTGTGTTTTATGTTTGGTTTTTTACTTCTCAGCCTATGGTCTTCTCTTAAATAATTGAGTACTGAACATTAACTTGGCAAGGGATAGATGTTTATATATGTTTATATAGTTGCAGTAAATGGAAGACACGTTTCTCTCTGTCATAAAACTATACAAAAAAATACAAAACAAAGTGGTGCAGAGACTTGACTCTTTTTATGTATAACTACTTGATGTTTTTTTTTTTAATGTTTAAAGTTTTGGATATAGATTCTGTTACATTACTTGAACAGGCACAGTTCTTTGAGTTAACCATGATATTTTAATATATAGACCGCTTATACGACACGTCTAGTTTACAGCTCTATCTTCGTTAACTCACTCCAGGTACGCATCAGATACACTGTAACACATCATTGTAAATATTATACTGAATGCTCAAGGGACGCAACCATGATATACACAATACAAGGGACGTCACAATCACTAACGAGACATAACGTAACAGATTCAAATAAACATCAGTTTGATTATATTCTATATTTTCTTTTAATCTAAGAAATTTTTGGGTTTAGTTATACATTCTGAAAATATTCAATCAAAGAGCATATATTTAAATGGAATATCTGTTTTATGGTACCGCAATAAACAATGAAACTTTCAAAGCCTTTTTTTTTTTTAAAGGTAGGCTATTTGGTGGTAGAGTGTTGTTATAGTGCTTAAAACACTATTACCACAAAGTCTTCAATTTAGATTTTGCATGTAATATTTGTAGTTGTAGTATGTCCCTAAGTCAGGGGTCGGCAACCTGCGGCTCGCGAGCCGCATGCGGCTCTTTTGATGTCAAGTTGCGGCTCTACAGCTTTATGCTCAATAAAAATATTGTTCTGCAACACTCGGTAATGAACGATAAAATAATAAACATAAACAATAAACACTCGCTATTCAATTAGAATATTTAGTGACGCCATATTTCAATGTACTTTCTATTAACTTGTCTATCCCAAATTGCAACATTCAACTTCATGGTGGAGATCATAAAGAAACTAAACGAGCTAAATGTAAAACTAAAAGGAAAACTCAGCCTATGCCTTGCTTAAAGAAGTGGTTTGTTTCGAAAAAAAAAACTATTTTTTTTTGTTAAAGACATGGAGAGCGGTAAATTACTTAATTACAAAAAATCTGAAGAAAAAAAAAAATCGTGATGAAACCAATGCTACTACTAACATGAATCACTTCAGTATTACTATAAACAAAATGAAGGGTGTTCAAGAACTCAGACATTTATAGTAGACCCTTTGTTTCAACACAGAAACAAATGAGATTATTTCATACATTTAAATTAAAGCTATTTATTTAAAATTATATATATATATATATATATATATATATATATATATATATATATATATATATATATATATATATATATATATATAATCTTTAACAAAGATCATATTGACATAAAAATGTTTGTGGCTCTTTAAAAACTGGATAATTTTGAAAATTATAACTTTTGGCTCTTCCGTCTCAAAAGGTTGCCGACCCCTGCCCTAAGTGTACACTGCTTGTGTTGACACAAGACTGCCGGTATGGAAAATGCACATCAATTATTAGTCAAATTATTACATAACACAAATAATGTGTGCTAATTTAATCCCGGTATCCCATTAAATAGAATAACATTTCCTTCTACCACCACCCCTTATTATATCATACCTCTGTACCGCCCCTACAATACCTGGTGATGTTAAATTATTAAGAAAAACGTATAAGGCCTATATCACATATTCATTTTTAAAAAGATCCTTATTTCGTGTTAAAAAAAAAAAAAAAAAACCTCTGTAATCCAGTTTTGTCAGCTTATTTATTTTAAAGTAAAACGGCCAAAACAGCAACAACAAAAATAATAATAATAAATAAACAACAGCAACATGTAGATCTAATCTAGATCTCAGAGATCTAGATCTAAATACTAGTGTTCTTGGCTTTTTGTAGCCATTTATTACCTTTTGAATATTTTTATCTGGCATCGTTGATTAGAGTAATCGCCCATATCAATAATATTTTTATTCTGCTGGTGTGTAAAACCAGTAAAACCCTGACGTGTTATCATTTTTCTTTTTGCCTTATCATCACCGCCACGTAAGCCTAATTATTTAATTTTCAGCATTACTCTTAAATAAATTTCCAGATCTAACTAGATATAAAAATCTAGATCTAGATCTAGAATCTAGTAGTAGCTAGATCTAAGTTTGTTGTTGTATTCCCATCAGAACAAACCCCCGGCCTGGCCTCAACCGAATGGCTGGCTTTGAGTTAAATATAAACTCAAAACAATAATAGATTCTATATACTATATATAGATCTAGGATCTAGATCTATATACTTATACCATCTCATTTAAATTGATCAGGCCACATACTCTCAGGCATAGGCCTAATTACTAATTATTAAATTAATAATTTTATTAGACCTAATTTAGTAATTTACTTAGGGCCTAATGCCTAATAATTACTAATAACTAATACTATAGTTTTCATATATTTTTATAGTCTACAGCCCCCTGCTACCCATTCTATAATCTGCAAATTGCAATGTTCTAGATGTATATGATATTGGACAATAATAAACACCAGTAAGCAGCAGAGATGGAAGGTATGTGCTCTAATGGCTCTATACGTAAAAATCTATAAATAAGAAACACTGTGAATAGCCGAATGCTAAATAAAATCTCCCTTATTAGTGACTTTATGAGAATGGAAACTGCAGTTCCTAATTATAAAATTATAAACCTACAGGAATTTGTTGCAAATCTTGATATTTGGCCTGAGGTTTTTTTATGATTTCACAGCTAGTTATGATGACACCCTGCTTGCATCTACTGATCTACCCAACTCTGCTGATATCTTATGTAGACTTGAAAAAAAGTAGTTTGTAGTGACCATTTTAAAAAATGCAATATATTAATCATCTATAAAAGATATTTCATCTCCTCCAGAGTTTCTTCCAGGCATCTCTTTGGGGGGGGGGGGGGGGGGGGGGGCAAAGAAATCCTACGACCAAGATGGAATTTATATAGAAAACATATACATTTACCAGTGTTGTCGTCCGTCCATTCCCCCCCCCCCCCCCCCCCCGGGGAGAAAAATGTCTGGAAGAAACACTGATCTCCTTCAATTGTGAGCAATAGAGACATATATTTAAAAGCATGTATAGGTTAGATGTGGTAGACTACCTCTTTTAAGATAGTCTAGCCTAGATCTAAAATTAATTTTAAAGAAAAATTGTGTAGCTCTGTTACTTATTATTACTATGTTTTGACAAGAAGTAGTTCACATTCATTTTATTTTCAGATACAACACCCCTGCTAAACCATAGTAGTGGAGATCATATATGTGTAAGTTTAATATATAATAAACAATGATAGCAATGCTTTTGTCTAGCATCACAGTTTATCCATGTTAATTCAAAGCAGTAGCAGAGGTCATATATATGCTGCTATTGGCACTGAATATTTAAAGTCATAGTGTTGCTAGGGCAGAGTAGTAGCAAAGATTATGTGTGTAAACCACAGTAGTCCATTTATCATTTATACAGGTGACAGACTCTAATCAACACCGATCATGTTAATAAGGTTGAGTTTTATTTCATTGGGGAAGTTCCCCATACAGCATATTTTATTTGTCTGCATACATCTTAATTGCATTCATCAATTGTAACTTTGATGGCACATTTTCATTCCATTATTGAATATTTCATTTAACATTGTTATTCTGTGATGGCATGTTTACATTGATTGCATGTATTCCATCTGAACAGGTGTATCGCAGACGGTGGTACATCCTCGCAGTGTACGGCATATTGTCTTTCACCCAAGCTGCAGTATGGAACACCTGGGGCCCCCTGTCTACCACCTGTGAGGAGGCGTTTGGCTGGCATGTCAGCACCATAGCATGGATGAGTAACTGGGGGCCCATAGCCTACATCACCACAGGCTTCTTCTTTTTCTGGCTACTGCAGGCCAAAGGTAGAACTTTTAATTGCAGCTGGTTTCAAGAATTTTTGTAAATTGTTTTAAAAATGTTTGTTTTAGAAAAAAATGTCCATTTAAATATTTATAAAAAGTTGAGTTAAAAATGTGCTTAATTTAACATTAACTTAAACTTAGAGGTATTTGATACTTGTTAAATTTAAATTAACTTATGTCCTACTTATTAAATTAAAATTAATCCTATGTACTTGATTGAATATAAGATCCTCTCTTTGTATTTTCAAGTGCTTTGCTCTGTATTTTCTTTATCATTTTAATTTTTAAGAAGATGTAATTGTTATGTTTTTTACTTATCATAAAAATACATACAAATTCAGCATCCCTTGATGTTATTAGTTTTAGCTAATTTAGAGTTTTATGTATATGAATATAAAAATGCATAACATTAATGAAAATATATGGTTACAAATAGAAAAGCCTTCTTCATTATTGTTTCTTATACATTTTTTTTAAAGTTTAAAATGAGATTACACATAGTTTGAACATGAAAATAAAAATAATCTTAATATTTTCAGTAGTTCATTTCTGTTAATATAATCAATGATTTTTTTTATCAGGTCTCAGACCAGCTGTGTTGGTTAGTGCGTTTCTCCTGGCTGTAGGCACAGTTCTGCGAGTTATAACATCTGACCCAGAGGTTGCCACTTTGTAAGTCCTGTTTATGCCTCTTAAACCTTTACAATCATGCCAGAACACAGTATGCTAGAATGCTGTATGATAAATCAACCAATAGAATATAATACTTGCTGGCAGGTATTGTGCAACAAGTAGGTGTCAGTTCATGTCTTGTTTTTTATATAGGAGGATATAGAAATAAAATATTTTTATATCCCAAGTACATGATTACAACTAATTTAAAAAGTTTCCCTTGATCAACCAGCATTGTCTACCTTTTATTTTTTAAAAAGGTGATCTACCCATACACACAAGTGTTATTCTTGGTTCTTAATGGTAATATAGAAGAAGATTTCTTTCAACACAATTAAGCATTATGTGTCAACATGTCATGATCCATACAACCCGTTGACTCTTCCTTCAACCTGCTATTCTTTACTTTACTGCATCTACATTTTTAACCTGATTTGTATTTTTTTTCTTAAAAATGATTTACAAATTAGTTATAAACTTTAGGTTCTGCATTATCTACAGAAAACCTATGTCTTTAAAACTAACTTCTATTCCAGCAAAAAAAGTTATTTAAATCTTCATTTGCATAACTCTAAACAATGTCTCCTCTGTAAGCATACTTGATTCCAACCCTCCTAATTTAGTTATAAATATCTTAATGAAATTCAAACAGTTATTTTTTATGACCTGGTGGTCAATAGAACAGATGAAGTAGAGTTCATTTGTTTTTTGTGACATCAGCATTAAAGGGATAGTTTTGGTCAGTACTATGCCATGCCACCTTTACCTTTACTAGCATATGTTAGGTACTAATCAGAGCTGAGTTAATTCAATAACATCCTATTGACTCGATTCCGGAATCCAAACTCAAAATTTCCGTGTTAACAATAGCGCTCTACCAGGTGTCTTTCTTCTCCCACTGATGCATAATGTTTCATATTTAGGCTGATTCACGTGGGGCAGTTTCTCTGTGGCCTCTCCGGGCCTATTGCCTTTGCTTGCCCCCCTACAATATCTGCCCTCTGGTTCCCCCCACACGAGAGGGTCACTGCTACGTCTATTGGCTCCAGCGCTGGTCTGTTTGGCATTGCCATTTCTTTTATTATAGGTAAGTTTTCCATTTTTACTTTCTCGTATATACGAAGTATAGAGAAAGTCTTGTAATCGTGCAAAAAAAAAAAATCGAGATTTTTACAAATCTCGACGTTTTACACTTCCCTGAGTCGGAAAAACATATTTTTGCAATCTTGTCCGTATGTCTGTATGTATGTCTGTGTGTCTGTCTGTGTGTCTGTAAACACAATAACTTGAGTACCGTTACAGCTAGGTTGATGAAGTTTCATATATAAGTATTTTATCAAAATCGTAGATCCATATCAACTTTTGAGCGATTTCCAATAACCGGAAGTGGTACTTTTTCTACTTTGAATTTTTCAAAAGCCTATAACTTGAGTACTATTTCAGATACATAAATGAAATTTCACATGTAAGTAAAACATCTAATCTTCTACCTTCTGTCAAATTTTGAGTAATTTCCGTTGACCGGAAGTAGTAATTTACGCCATTTCTGATTTCTCAAAAAACGCATGTAAATTTATAAAGTACTAATAATATTCCGCACTATTATGCACATTTTGTTTTGGCGTTCGCTTGGTGCGCAATTTTTTTTTCTATGAGATTCTATTCTATTTTTAAAAGTTTTAGTAATTAAAAATCATGTCTATATTCCGAGTTGCCATCCGTAGTGTTATATAAGAATATTTGAGAAAGTTTAGGGGAGATCACTCCCGGTTTATTTAAAGTAAGTTTTTATTCTAGTGTATGTGATCGCATGGTTGAGGGTTTTAGAACACAAAAGCTAACTAGAAACTCTTGGGATCATTCCCAGATTTGATTTCATGGGACATTTCTGAGTCCATCCATCTCTTATAATTATAAGTACCAGACTAGAGTAGAGGCACATAAAAAAGCTCTGGTTAATACTGACCAAGCAACCCCAGGTAAAATCAAACAGAAGCCATACTCCATATGTGTGCTTGTATAGAAGAAGTATTGTAAATTCACAATACAGACATGGAGGTCTGTATTAGAAGAGTTAGCCTGTTATGGTGACTATGTCCTACTTTAGTGTAACGTGACCAGCACAGTGTACTCAACTAGAGAGCCTTTCAGAGGGGGGAGGGGTTGTTAGGCCCGTCCAGCTTGAGATCCAGATGCAACATGCACAGGCATTGTTAATCAGATCATCAGACACACCCAATTAGAAATCTACTTAACATGTCCAACGGGTTAAAATGGAATACACTAAATTGATTTTAGATTTTTAATCTGTTCCCCAGTTTATATTGTGTGGAACAAGAGTTTTGATATCAAATATCTAATTTATTTAATTGCAAAGGTCCTGCAGTGGTTGGAAGCTATGTTGAAGTGGTCAATGAATCAGATGTATTACGCGATCAGCTTAACCAAGTTACAAGTGTTAAAGGTTCGTTAAGTAAAACATAATGAACTCAGCAGAAGGAAGTTTGTTTTGCTATTTGTTTTTTTTTTAGTTTTTGATTACCCACAAAACAACTTTACATTTAGTGGTAAGGATTTGTTAATTTAAGTATTTGCATCTTTTATTAAATGCAGTAGATTCATTTAAATGTTACCATTGTTTCTGAATATAGAATGAATTTAGTAAAAGTTGAATTAAATATTACAATTTTTAAAATAATTTATTGATAAGAATCGTGAATTTAGTGGTAAGGATGTACTAATTTAAATATCTTTTAATGAATTTTGCCTCATAGGTTTATCTCTCAGAGTACATCAAGAGAGAATGGGGATAATGCAGTTCATGTATTATGGTGAGTCCATATTGCCAAAATACCAATTTTTATAACAACACGTTACTGTATTAAATTCTCTTTGACTTGTGAATATTCTTGTTTTTGAAATTATGAGCAAAGTAAAACAGCTACTAGGGTTCATTACTCCCATCAATTTTCATAGCTGAGGTTATTAATTTGGTTGTTTAATAGTTTGTAATGGAACTGCATGGTTGAAATGTAGAGTGTACAACTAACCCTTAAGTCTTGAGTCTGAATCTGGGTTCAATTCCCTAGAATTTTCTTGAGTCCAGCTCTGATGGGTACATGACTCACGTTAGGGAAGGTGGCTGGGCATAGCGCTGACCACATTATCCCTTCATATACCGAGGTAACAGAAACAAAAATCTGTACTTTACTTGCTCCATAAACCATCTGCTGTGTAACTTAGCTTTACTTAGTTACTATATAGTTCATAAAAAAATATCATTAGAAACCTAGTTCTCCACTGATTTTGTAACACAGAAATTTCATTTGCATTAAACTTTTGTCTGATTTTTTTACAAACTGCAGCCAACAATGAAAAAGGTTAAACTGTTTTTTCCTTCTGATTTTAGAATGTATTTGGTCAATTGTAACGTTCCTGCTGATCCTGTGTTACTTCCCTTCAATGCCACCACATCCTCCTAGTGCCTCTGCTATTGTTGAGAGAGAGAGTTATTGGAGTGGACTATGGTCACTCAGGCAGTAAGTATTACAAACTTGGGCTCACTCAGACAGTAAGCAAGGGTTGGGTTGGTAAAGCTCTTGGTTGTTAAACCTAAAAAATCCTGAGTTTGGACCCCCAGTCAGTTAGGGTTTAATACTTGGGGAAAGCAAATCTTTCAAAAAGAAAAGCAGGCTGAAATTGGAGCCAGTGGCCTATATTGCACATAACAGATTGACACATAATACTGTATTGTGTTGTAGGAGATCCTGTCCAATATAACAATTAAGGACGAAGAAGAAATTCTGTAAGCATTACAAGTTAGTTGCCACTCAGACAAGTTATCAATAATAATTTTTTAAATCTGTGTTTGATGTCATTTCATATTCTTTATATCATGTCACTAGAAGTATTAAATGAATTTGACCAAAATTAAATAGTACCGTTTTGTGTGGGCAAAAAATGTTGTTGATTGATTCTAATTTATGTTTTGTTTATATTTATATGACTTTATCATTGTAAGGTCAATAAATATATATAAAAAGAACACTCTTATTTTATTTATTAAATGTATTTGGTGATTTCCATTTGATTAAAATGTCATCACCATTCGAGTTTAAGTGAGACAGCATATGTGTGATTAGCTAAGTCAAAAGCGTTAAGTTCAAGTAACCAGACTTTGCTGAAGCCTGTGAGTGTTCTATTTACACATTTCTATATAGGCCTTATTTTTAAAATTTCAGCAAAAGTTACTTTCTTGTAATGGCTTTCATCTATGGTATCTCCACTGGTGTATTAAACGGCTGGTACACAGTGCTGAATGTAAACCTGAGCAATCTGAACATCAGTGAGGTAACTCATGTTTTTATGTGTTTTTTTTTTTTAATTTATTTTTTATTTTAACATCACTTATATTTTTTGTTCCTTACAGAGCATCAGGCCTCTGTCAAAGCTTTCCAGTCTCCACAGCCCCCTGTCATTCTTTTGAGCTGTTCCCAAATACTTCCTATCCGTTCAGCCTTTCTGGGTTATAACCCCTGCACTGCCTAGCCTTAGGATTACACTCATGGGCTTGTCTGGCTCTATGGCAAGCCACCTTCCTAAGTGGGTGCCCAATCCATCGCCATTTCCTCTATGTTATTTTAACATAGTTTCTACTTCCCTTAACTTGGTTTTTGGTGAAAAAAATGAAAAGTCAAAAATTAAATTCCGCAAAATTAGTTTTATCAGCTGTAAAATAAAAACAATATCAAGTTCAAAGAGTAAGTTTTTAAAGTTCTAAATAAGGTTTTTGTTACAGCTGACCTATTACGTGTTCGGGTTTGTTGAGCCAGGTGAAACAAAAATTAAACAAGGACACAATTAACGAAGCCTTGTTGTGTGGTTCAGTCAAAAAATATATTCTATCCTCTGAAAACTAGAAGAAAAAAAATGTCTTAACAAAAATGACACTGGTTTTTGCAACTTAACTCCTCCAGAGTGATCTCACATTTACCCAAATTCAAATGCCGATGCTATCTTACACATACTCTTCTCATTTACAAGGGGAGGCCACTCTCTATGCTTACACAGTTTTAACATTTTGTGTACATTATCACTGTTGGGTTAATAATACTTATGTTGAAATGTAATTATGATTTATACTAGATCTAACTACATATATGGATTTATTCTGATTACAATGTCAATTAACTCTAATAAATATTCATGTTAATTAATAATTTTAATTTTATAGAATTAACAAAATCTACATTCAACTCACTTATCTTAAAATTATTGTACTTTGTATAGAGTCAAGCTGGCTGGATTGGGTTCTATTCCACATTGAGCAGCTGTATATGTGCCTTGGTTGTAGGAAGGTACTAGTTGACATTGTCTTACTCAAGTTGATAAAGGCCTCTATGTACTGTATTGTTTTTCTAAAATTAATGTAATGCAATGGAGCCCATCAGTGTTGAGAGATATCAGGTAATGGAAAAGTTGATAAAGATCCCCTCACATTGCCACAAAATATTATACCTACATCAGATTTTTTTTCTGTTAGGATATATAATACAAAAGAAAATATATAAAAGGTAGTTTATTTACAAAATTATGGAAGACCTTTAAAATGGCAATGAAAAATGACTACCCTATATTTTTCTACTTCAAGATTTGCTGATACTTTTGTGAGGCGCATGAAACAGTTAATATTGGTCATCTTTGTACTGGCTGCTGTTTGCTTTCTGGTGTTTGCTCTCATGCTAGCTCAAGTGCTGGACTATTCTGAAGGTGAGTACTGGTCAGCAGTTTGATACATCAGAGGAGGGGGGGGGTGCAGCAGTTCAATAGAAACAAGGGGTCATCAGATTGATTTAAATAAGTGGCCATCGATTTTTATTTACAGCAGGGGGAGACAGCAGTTTGGTATAAATTATTGGCCCTAAGTTTGATATAAAACAAGTGGCTATCAGTTTGATATAAACAATTAGTCATCAGTTTGATATAAACAAGTGGCCATCAGTTTAATATAAAACAAGTGGCCAGTAGTTTTCCACTAGAGAAATAGTCCCATATTTTTGGCTGCTAATCATAATTTAGCCTTTCTTCATTATTGTTAACTGCTATCCCTTACAATTTAAGTATTTCTCCCAAGCAGATATTCTCTTCTTTAAACTTACCTGCTGTCTGAATAATAAAAAAATTGTCACTCTAGAAGCTATTTTCTAATTCACAGTCAGCTGCTGTCTGACTAATTTTAATGTAATCTTTCCCAACAGTTACTCTCTACTTTACACTTAGCTACTAATGTTAATTAAATCTTCCCCAACAGTTACTCTGTACTTTACACTTAACTGCTGTCTGACTAATTTTAATGTAATCTTTCCCAACAGTTACTCTCTACTTTACACTTAGCTACTAATGTTAATTAAATCTTCCCCAACAGTTACTCTCTACTTTACACTTAACTGCTGTCTGACTAATTTTAATGTAATCTTTCCCAACAGTTACTCTCTACTTTACACTTAGCTACTAATGTTAATTAAATCTTCCCCAACAGTTACTCTCTACTTTACACTTAACTGCTGTCTGACTAATTTTAATGTAATCTTTCCCAACAGTTACTCTCTACTTTACACTTAGCTACTAATGTTAATTAAATCTTCCCCAACAGTTACTCTCTACTTTACACTTAACTGCTGTCTGACTAATTTTAATGTAATCTTTCCCAACAGTTACTCTCTACTTTACACTTAGCTACTAATGTTAATTAAATCTTCCCCAACAGTTACTCTCTACTTTACACTTAACTGCTGTCTGACTAATGTTAATTTAATCTTTCCAACAGTTACTCTCTACTTTACACTTAGCTACTAATGTTAATGTTATCTTCCCCAACAGTTACTCTCTACTTTACACTTAGCTACTAATGTTAATGTTATCTTCCCCAACAGCTACTCTCTACTTTACACTTAGCTACTAATGTTAATGTTATCTTCCCCAACAGTTACTCTCTACTTTACACTTAGCTACTAATGTTAATGTTATCTTCCCCAACAGTTACTCTCTACTTTACACTTAGCTACTAATGTTAATGTTATCTTCCCCAACAGTTACTCTCTACTTTACACTTAGCTACTAATGTTAATGTTATCTTCCCCAACAGTTACTCTCTACTTTACACTTAGCTACTAATGTTAATGTTATCTTCCCCAACAGTTACTCTCTACTTTACACTGATTGTTGGCTGCTCCTTGCTAAATGCTGCCGTCCCTCTGATGTGTGAGTTGTCCTGTGAACTGGCCTACCCCACCAGTGAGGGGGCAGCTAATGGTTTCCTCACCTACCTGAACAGCGTAGCGGTCATGTTGTTTCTTGTTGTCTTTTCCTTCCCTGATGTTGGTAAGTTTTGCATTTTGCATGTACACACATTTTAATTTTTTTTTCTATTTGTTTTTTAAGTTTCTACATTTAAATGTGGCATGTACACACAAATATTTTCCTATTTATTGGTGAGCTTTCACCTTTAAATGTAGATTAAACAAGAGTTTTTTTGTCTATATCGTGGTCCATTTTTACTACCTCACATTTAAAATTAGCTTGCACTAACATCTAAAATATTAAGTATGTAATTATTTTGATATTAAGGTTAAAGTTGGAGTTTGTATTATTTTAAGAAATAGGGAAGCTTAAACAATAAATCTAATTGAAACTGGTTGAAATATACATTTAATGAACTACATTATACCTACAGTTCTTTAAATCATAGTTTGGGTACTTTTGTGTAAATACAACAATTTAAAAATATATTCTTATTAAATTTTAATTTAAAAACAAAAATGTTTGTATGTATAAAAGTTTGAGTTTGTTGGTTTCAAATGTAAAATTTTTACAGGTACTGTATGGATAAACTGGGCTTTAATTGGTGCAATCATCATATGTATTCCACTCATAGCCCTTCTGAAAGGGAGATTTAACAGATTGGAAATAGATGAAGAGTTACAACGAGCACTCTATTTAACAAAAACTCATGCAGCTTAAAGTTTAAAGGGTAATACAATAACAACGGTGAAAAAATAATATCTCATAATCTGATAAACATTTTGGGATTTGAAAAAACTGACTGAATCCAATGTTAAAAGTTGAATTTAATGTTACAGCATTCTTTTTTTTTTAAAAAGCAAATTGAATTTTACACAAGGGAAACAACCCCTGTCTTGTTAAATACATTTTTCTGATTTGAGTTGTACACTTTAGGCTTATTTGAAGGTTTTAAATAATGTAGAAAATAAAGGTTAGCAAAAAAACTTAATTATATTTCAGAATATATAATGAGCCAGTTCCACATAATGTTAAAAGTCAGATAATTAAAAAAAAATTATCAATACAACAATGTTTTTCAATTAACTTGATTTATGGAAGAAGTGGATTTGCAGCCATCATATTAACCTAAATATAAATATTTTATGCATAGAAAAAGAAAATACTTATTTTGTCTTATAGTTTTGAGATAATCAATGTGTTTATTTTGGAATTGCTTATTTTGGCCAACAATAGTTTAAATAAACAACATGCTTATTTTTGTCAACAACAATCTATATTTAGCTTCTATTTTAGAGGTATTTAGACTGTCAAGTTTAAGTATGGTTGAGTGGAGTGTTTCATCAAGGATCCAGGTTCGGAGATGAGTTTAGCTAAGAGTGATTTTTTTTTTTATTGCCTCATGTTCTTACCGTTGTTGAATAAATTGAAATTATTGTTTATAGTGCAAATGACGTTAATAATATAATTTTTTAAACATGTTATATCTTGGTTAGGGCTAGTGTAAAAGATTAGGAATTTTACATAATTCAATACTTATGGTCAAGCTTAATAATAATACTGACTTCTATCAATGCAGGGATTTAGAATTGAAACTGAATGAGGAAATAAGCATCTTTAACACCATCTATGTGTTTTGGATTTTACCTCTGACATTTTTTATTACAGTAATGCATATTTCCACTAATCTGTTAGAGGATGTAAGCACAGCGTTGATTTCCTCAAAACTCTGTTAAAGGAAATAAACACTTGTACTGATTTTTTTCTAGTGGAATCTTTATTAGCATCTTTTATTTTTAGATGTAGATGTAAATGCTTTTAGAATTTCTGAGCTTCCTGTTTTACTGTTTTAACAAAACTACCAAAACAAATCATGAATCTGCTTTGCAAAAGAATTAAAAATCATCTCAAAATTTGTTTTCTTTTTTTTTAAAACATTTTTCTTTAAATTTTCCCCTAAGGGATGGTCAGGCTCTCTAATAAGACATGTTTTAATTAATGAAACTCACTTAAAAATTCACTGCCTGCTGATTCTTTCATGTGTTTACAAGTCTTATTTGAGTTTTTGATCTGTTGATATATTTTTATAAAATTGTTGTTCTAAGTGCCATAAATATTTCTTGTTGTGAGTTATTTATAACTTTTATGTGGCTATTTTTATCAAAGATATCTGTATATCTGTTCTATCTATTTAGATGCTTTAACCATATTGTATTATGTTTTAAACTGTTTGTATTTTAGTATTTATACTTACATACCTACACACATACAAACATACATACATGACTTACTTAAGTCAAACAAGTAAAGAAGACTAATAGGTCAAATGCTTTTCATTTTTGTGTAGATCACAGCCTTTAATTTTTATTTATTGACTTCCTTTTGGACCAAAATAATGTGTTCTACAATTTTGTTTGTTGTATTATCTGACCAGATTTAGCAAGGATGAGTCTCACCATGTGATTAACTTTTCACAATATGTGGCCGTATTTATATTTGTATGACTCCTTTAGAGTAACAGGTGTAGATATTTTTATGCTTACAATCTCATCAGTGGCGGAACTAGAAAAAATGGGCCACCCCGCAAAAAAATTTTTTGGGCCCCCCATATGTATATATATATATATATATATATATATATATATATATATATATATATATATATATATATATAAACACTCAATACGAACATAGGATACTCATTTCTGGCCTGATCGGGTTTTGAAAAAAAAATCAATTAAATATAATCAGTACAACATGTCATGTGTATGAGTGCATTGGTCTGTTTTGAAAATCTCTGTTTTTATTTATATTTGCCTTAATACTTTTAATCATTGAGTCGGTCAAAAGTATATAAATCCCCTTAAGCTGTGTATAAGTAATGGTGTCTCGTGTTATGTTTATTTATTTTTTTTTGTATTCATATTATTAGTTTTAACTACATTTCATTATTATACTATACCATTCTTTAGTACTTATTTTTTAAAAAATAATAGTTAAGATAAGTAATTGCTGTTTAATTTGATTATTACAAATCTATTAAAAGGAGCTTGTAAGCACCCCTATTTGGCTATTTGAAAAAGGGAAATAATTTATGGAAGGGGTTTGAACGTTTTGCCTATCTTTCACACTACAGCTCATGTGTATATATTTTTTAAAAATTTTTACGCAACAGCATATCTTAGCTACTATATAATATCACTACTGTATTATATCTGTTATCTGTTTGTTATTTACAAAACCACTATCAAGGTGCCAGTGACGAAACTAATATATATATATATATATATATATATATATATATATATAACATTCTATCATTCGTGTATTTATTTGAGACGTTTGCCTTGTTTTCTAGAACAGTGGTTATTAAATGTAAACAATGTCGGCACTTTATTTCTTGGATGTTAGTTGTTGGAGCGCTAGTTTGTCAACACTACCACCGATTCGAGCCAGCTTTGTTGTTGGAGCGCTAGTTTGTCTACACTACCACCGATTCGAGCCAGCTTTGTTGTTGGAGCGCTAGTTTGTCTACACTACCACCGATTCGAGGCAGCTTTTTTGTTGGAGCGCTAGTTTGTCTACACTACCACCAATACGAGCCAGCTTAGTTGTTGAAGCGCTATCTATTCGCTTCTTGTAAGGCTAAGAGCGGGAGGGGTGGTCTGAGAAAGGAACTTAAAAGGGACAACAAAGCACCGATGTGCTTTTATCCATCAGTACCGAATTTGGGATGGTCTCAAAAAGCCGTCTTAATATCTAGCGGCCTCTCGCGCAATTGATGTTTTTTCAAAATAATTTTGCCGACAACAGCGTGTGTTTGATTGTAGGAAAAAGAATATACAAGAGCGTGGGATGGTGTCTATAGAATAAAGATACTCCAACCACAGCTACAGTATTCTTTTTTCAAAACAACCATCAGTTCAAAAATGCAAGAAAATTGATTTTAACTTCAAAAAAATGATTATGGGCGGCTGTGGGCCCCCTAAACGGCGTGGGCCCCCCCGCATTGCGGGGTCTGGCGGCACTGTAGTTCCGCCCCTGAATCTCATATGTTTTATCCATCTTTTTATAGTTCACCAACTAATTAGCATACATACTTCCTTGATAACATGAAGTTTAGTACAGATCACTTATACTCATCATCCATAACATCTTAGTAGGTTGGTGACTTAATAAAAATGAGTGCATTATATATATATATATATATATATATATATATATATATATATATATATATATATATATATATATATATATATATATATATATATATACAAAAGCTCATTTATATACACCTACACACACAAATAGGCCTGCATATAAACTTTTATTGGTACCATATATCAGATAGATAGTTAAATAGATAGATAGATTAGATTAGATAGATAGATAGATAGATAGATAGATAGATAGATAGATAGATAGATAGATAGATAGATAGGTTATCTATCTATCTAATAGATTATCTATCTATCTCCCTATCTATAGATATCTCCAAGACATTGTATCATTACACACACATATAAATAGCCTATGTGTGTTTAATAGCAAGATGTTTGTCTGAAAGAATCCTATAAGAAATCTGATCAAGACAACATGAGCTTTACATTTTCCAAACAAAATTAATTACAGAAATTTGATTCCCGGTGCAATTCCTTTCTTTCTTTTTTTAAAGACATTTTAAAATGTGTTATTTTTTATTTTATATTATTATAAGCATCTTAAATTTCCATTTACGCCAAGCTTATGTTTGTTGAGAAAATATTAAGACAAAGATTTATTGTATAGATGTGTTGGTGCGAATGCTCCTGTATAAGACACAGGTTAGGAGAATAATAAACTTCAAGAAATTCAAGAAGTGTTGGCATTAATTACAGGAGAGTAAAGGGAACACTGAGATTATAATAATATTTTCCTAACAACAATGCTCAGCTATTTACATATACTAGCTGTGGAGGTTTGTGGTGAGGTGGGTGAGGGAAGGAGACAAGATTAGCTTTTACAGAAAATTAAAATGGCTGAAAACTTTCAGAGGGACATTATTTATGGACTCTTGTGTTTTCTAATTCATTATTTTTTAATTATATATATATACAGTTTTTTTTTCATTTTAATCTTTCGTGTTTGTAAGTTTTGAAGAGATGATGTATGATGAGAATGGATTTTGTTTGTTGGATTAACCTTTAGTTTCTTTTACATCATTGCCATTTGTGAAATTTTATTCATATGAACCAAGTACTTACACTATAATGATGTTAAAAAGCTACACATTTTAAAAAATAAGTGGTTGTAAATCCATTTTTTTCTCAGTCTATTAAGTGGTGAAATGTAAATCAATATATATATATATATATATATATATATATATATATATATATATATATATATATATATATATATATATATATATATATGTCAGGACACTTGTTTGTCAACATACCACTGTATGTATTTGTGTATGTATGCATGTGTTTAAGAAGCCAATGGTTTTTGTTACACTTTGTTCTCTTTGATAGCTGTGATACTTGTTACAGAAAATTGTAATTATAATCATCCATGTCTTTTTATTTTGGTACAATTACAATTTTAAAATTGTATCATTAAAATGTTTGTATTTATTTTTTTTGTATTTTTAGGCAGAGCTGAATTATTGTTTGAATAAAATTGTTTTTATCTCCTTTATTGTTTTGCATTATCTGTTACAAAATGCTTAGAATTTAGTGTTTGCTATGATTTTATGCTTTTTTAAAAATTTAAATGTAAAAAATAATAACACTTCCACTGTTCCCTACCCTCAAGAATTCCAGAATTTACTATATATCTTGTGTATTATGAATACTAATTGTATACTATTTAATCTTTAAATAGAAACTATATTTCTCTCTCTATGACTATGAAGCTTTTGATGTTAAAATATAAAATATATGCTGAACGTACATCATATTGTACTTCCGAAAAAAAAAATCTTTCATCTCCCTGAATATCTGTGTTGTAGAGTCAGAGAAATTAATTTAAATGCTGACTTTTTGTATTTGGTGCATCTGAGCCCACTCTGTTATAGTGTGTACCCAACACACACACACATATATATATATATATATATATATATATATATATATATATATATATATATATATATATATATTTATATTTATATATATGTATGTATGTATGCCAATATGCTCCCCTTAACCCTCTAAATTCGTGAGGCCTATGCCTCAAAGAATTTATTTGCTTTTTCTTTGAAGTCCAGTTATTTGATTAATACCTTAATTATTGACAGATTAAAAATGTATTTGTTTTTTTAAATTCCATTAGGGCCTACGTAAGCAAAAATAAAAATAAAATGGAAAACGTAAGCGGCAGAGTTTTAAAAAAAGTTTAATGAGTCATCTCATGTTCATTTACATTTCAACATGTTACACACACAGTTTTATTATACACACATTTTCACCTCTCACGCTAACACAGCTATTTATAGAAAACTTAGCACCCCATTTAATGATTTAAAATGTACACTTTGAACTCTTACTGTCAACTTACAAAGCGAAACGTTTTTTGGATAAATTTTTTTCTGTCAATAGAGTAACCTCCCTTAGTACAAATCTATTTTTCAACTACTTTTTGTTTTACAAGACAATCTCACTTTCGTTTTCTCCACTCAATACGTTGTATGTTTTAATTACAACAAAAATTTGTCGATGAATTACAAGTAATAACAGATTGTAAACAACAGCGTTAGTAAATTTATATTCACGACAAGGTAGGAATGGATATACGTGAGGTCAGTTTGGGCGGGAAAGGGGAGACAAAAAAAATAAGGGGAAACAACACGAAGCTATTACAAAGAAAAAATAAATAAAACATTGTTTCAGGGCGTGGAGATGCAACGTAATCCCCGAACAAGAGTAAAATAAATTACGTACACAAATATGGAAGAGACAACTTGTCCTAATAAAGCTATTAGCTTTAAGAGCTGCAACAGAGAGGGGCATTATTAATTCAGGCATAAAGGGAGACAGCTAGGTTTTTTGTCATGGAGTCAAGTTAATCACTATTTTATATCAAATTGCACTTCACGATATGTTCATTTTCTTTTTTTTATTTTTAAATACATTTTCATTTGGCTGTTCTTGTTTAACACGCCGAATCGATTTGAACATTAATCATTACTGACAATTTTTAAAAAAGAGACATGAAACGAAATTAAACGAAACAAAACTTAAAGGAACAGAACACATATTTATATGAGAAATGAATATACTGGGAATGGTTGGATAGTTACTAAAAATGTACTTTTTTTTAAATTAATTTTATAAAACGGGCTGTGGTGTTTTATCTTTCGACCTTTCAGAACCAGTTTTAAAATGACAATGCTATTGTTTGTTATTTCAAGTGTACAATTAGTAAAACACCACATTAATAAAGAGAGTGTCTATTGAAACTACTAGTAGCTGCAGCCTTAATACGTGTAAAAAAAAACTTAGTTTACACTTCCACAGCATCTTTCAATATGGGGACCCCTGCAAGACAATCTCTGCT